CATAAGCGATGCTGAGAACTGAACCTGGGTCAGTTGTATATAAGGCGGGTGTACTGATCCACTGTACTCTTCGTATAGAACAGAGAATATCACTTGACCACTTGATCACTTGACACCCCGATAATCATCGATCTGCTTGAGCGGCTGCCAGTAACGTCTCCATTCGTCCCTGCCGTGTGCTAGCGTAGCCCAATGGTGTCTGCTCGTTCTAGGAACACGAAGAGCCTCAAACCGATCATTCAGGGTCTTGACGAAGAAGTCTGACCATCTCGTAGGTTGGGCAGCCACACGATCTTTTGACGTCTCATGGAATCCAGCCGGTAATGGCTCTAGTCCAGCGGTCATCTCCAAATCTCATTACGTGGCCAGCCCATCTGATTTTCAATGCCTTGGCAAACGAGACAGCGCCCCTGATTCTTGACGGCTGACGGAGGTCAGAACTCCGGATTCTTTCTCTCATTTGGGTGAAGTGTGATACTCTAAGCATAGCTCTTTCGATGCCCCTTTGGGAGACCCGAATAGCATTCTCATCCTGTTTTTGTAGGGCCCAGGTCTCTGAGGCGTATGTTAATACAGAGAATATAGTATCTCTTAAAGGTTTTATGAAAGCCTCCTGCTTTTTTTTTTTCTTTTTGGGTCACACCTGGCGATGCACAGGAGTTACTCTTGGCTCTGCACTCAGGAATTACTCCTGGTGGTGCTCAGGGGACCATATGGGATGCTGGGAATCGAACCTGGGTTGGCCGCATGCAAGGCAAATGCCCTACCCATTGTGCTATCTCTCCAGCCTCTCCTGCATTTTTTGGTTTTGGTGGTTATTTTTCTTTTTCCTTGAGATGCCATGACTTACATTACTTCTGCTTTTGTAAATAAATAAAAATATGGGCAAGGAAGACGGCTCTAAGGGGTGCACACTTGCTTTGCATGCAGATGCCCAAAATTTAATCCCTGGCACTAAATGGTCCCTAAGCCAACAAAACAACAACAACAAAAATAATTGAAAGAAAAAAGAAAAAAAAATGGGTCAGAATTGCTTGCACATGGCTGACCAAGGTTCAATTCCCAGCACCTCATATGGTCCCCTGAGCCCCACTATGAATGATGCTTCAGCACCACCAGCTGTGGCCCAAAAGACAAAGAAAAAAACGAAAAATGAGAGATCACTGAAACCTAAAGTCTAATGTAGGGAAGGTGGCTGGAAAACCTGTGGATTCGCTTTGCAGAATCTCCATCCTTCATTGGGTCATCAGATGTGGCAAGCAGGCAGGAATCTCGGACCAAGAGCTGGGGCCCAACTCACCCAGAAGGCAAACTGCAGTAGCTGGTTCCACACACCCAGGGCCTGGACCATTGGTTTGGACTTCCCAAGCTTTGCCTTAAGTTCTGGCAGCTGACCATTTCCTTCTAATAGATTCTTCTAGGGCCAAGGAGAGCAGGTAGGGTGCTGTCTCACATGCAGCCAACCTGGGTTCAATCCCCGGCATCCCACATAGCCCCCACAAAACTGCAAGGAGAGATTCCTGAGTGTAGAGCTAGGAGTGACCCCTGAGCATTGCCAGGTGTGCCTTCCCCTCAAAATTTTTTTCTTCTATACTTAAGTTTCCAGGCAATCCCCAGAACCAAGATTCAGAGACTATAAAACCCAGCTCCTGGAAGCGCGTGGCCGCATTTGCGGCCGCGCAATATCTTATCATCTCATTTCTACATTAGACAAACTGGCAGGCTAGCGAATGTAACCTGCTCACATGGCTGAGTCTGGCAAACTCCCCATGGCGTACCCAATATGCCAAATACCAGTAACAATGAAGGGTCTCATTCTCCTAACTCTGAAAGAGCCTTGAATATGGCACTTTAAAAAAAAAAATCTCAGGGCTAGGATGAAGGAGACGTTACTAGGGCCTGCTCGAGGCAATCAAAGAATAACAGGATGGTTGTGACTGTGATTGTGATATACTTAAGTTAGTTAGAGTTACTCTCTGTTGCTTAGAACTAAAGGAACCAAATGGGGTTGTCTAATCAAAGTATTTCAGATTTATCTGTGCTTTTATTTGCCACTATAACTTACTACAGTGGCTTACAATTATTTTTTTTACTTGAAAAACATTTTACAGCATGATACTATGAACATATATACAACTATAAAAGACAAATATATTCCTTATATTTATATAAATATTTACTCACATATTTTATAATTATAACTACAATAGATATGGTAGATAAATATATTACAGTAACTAAAATCTACTTTAACAGGAGCGATAGCACAGCGGTAGGGCGTTTGCCTTGCGCACAGCCAGCCCTGACGAGCCGAGTTTGATTCCTCTGCCCCTCTTGGAGAGCCCGGCAAGCTACCGAGAGAGTATCTCGCCCCCACGGCAAACACAGTAACAAGTCTTAAAATGGAGACATTACTGGACCTGCTTGAGCAAACTGATGAACAACGGGAGGACAGTGTTTGTTTTTTGTTTGTTTGCTTTTTGGGTCACACCCAGCGATGCACAGGAGTTACTCCTGGCTGTGCACTCAGGAATTACTCCTGGCTTTGCTCAGGGGTCCATATGGGATGCTGGGGATTGAACCCGGGTCGGCTGCATGCAAGGCAAACACCCTGCCCGCTGTGCTATCGCTCTAGTGACCCAAACTAAGAGTTTTAGTCCTACTTGGCACTTTAAGAGTAGTTTTCAGTGTATAACGAAATCCAGAAGGTATGATTTCCAAACACTTGTCATTCCCACTCATCATTTTCCCCCACAATCAACATCATTTACCAGAACCATACATTATTTTTTACCAAGGATAAAACTATATTAAGACACCATAATCACCCAAAGTCCAAAGGGTTCAACTCAACAAAGTAAAGAGGGTATACATTCTATTGTTTGGATAAAAACATAGGAATACATATCAGCAAATTATTTTCACTGATTCCTCCAAATCGTCCATGCTCTACGTACCTCACCATTACCCCAAAATCTTGGCGACCATTGACCTTTTTATTGTTTTCATGGTTTTGCCATTTTCAGAATGTCATATGCTAAGAATACCTTTTGGGGTCACACTCAGCAATGCTCAGGCTCTATGCTTGGGGGTAGGTTATTGGGGACCAAACCAGGGCAACCCATATGCAAATCATGAGCTCAACCAACCAAGAATTCTATCTGGCCTGAGAATTTTGTTTGTTGGCTTGTTTGTGGGCCAAATCCGCAGTGCTCAGAGATCATTCCTGGCTCTGTGCTCAGGGATCACTCCTGGCAGGGATTGGGGACCTGGTCGGGATGGGTTGTCAGGAACTGAATCTGGGTCAGCTGTGTGCAAGGCAAACATGACACCCATTGAACTACCTCACCAGTCAAGAAATTTTTTTTTTTAAGTGCTGGTTCTAACCCACTAATTTGATTTCAGATCCACTGGTGGCGCTCACCTCTGAAGGTCCAAGAAAGACTGGCCACCAGTTCCTGCTGTACCTGCCTTTAAGAATAAAAACAACCCAGTCTGCATTAGCTCTATCTCAGGCGGTGTCAATCCTGAGGCTCAGAGCTAAGGAGATGAGAAATGGTGGGCGGGCAGGCACTACCAGCGACTCACTTTCCACGGACACTCGGCACTCCCTCAATGATGCAGAATATCTGACAGGTTCCTGGGGACAGTCCAGAGCCATAAACTTTACCTGGGCTGGCTCAGAGGAGAGGAATCCAGGACAAAGCGTTCTCCTGACTGGCTGATTATTTTTTCCTCCCCCTACGTAAGAGTGCAGGAAGTAAAAAAGGAATTTCTGTCTACCTGTTGTTCTAGAGGTTTTTGGTAAGCTTCAAACTGATCTACGGCCAGACTGAGTTCCGTGCTCACCATCTGCCTGCCAGATCTCCCTGTTCCACCAGACAAGCAGTTAAAGAGGCTGTTGGTTTATTTTCCTTGGTCTTCAGACGTTCCTGAATGAGCACAGCAGCTCCAACAGCCCTGCCTTTCTTTCCTCATACCCTTCCTCTGCCTCAACCATTCCAATACAGTGAGCAAGAAGCCGGGGCAGGACTTGGGGCTGACACCACTGACAGGGGCTGAATTTCTTCGATCCTTCCCGAATAGCCCTGTGGGAGGGACCAGGAGGTACTGGGGCTCTGGGAGAGAGAGAGAGAGGGGTGTAGCAAGCCCATACAGTGATGGTTCAAAGGACTGGAGTGCTTTGCCTAAGGAAGTCTCAAGTTCCAACAAGCACATCTCTGGTCCCCCAGCCCTGCGGGATGTGCCCAAAACCACCTCCTCCCACCCAAAAGAAAGAAAGAAAAGAAAAGAGGGCCTGAGAAACCGTGCAGAGGTCAAGGTACTTGCCTGCTAGGCGTCGGCCACAACAGATTCGAATCCCAGCACTGCATAACCCCCCACCCCACGTGCGGCCAAGTCTGGCACGGCCCCAACTGGCCCCAGAAAACCCGCTGGGGGAAACCAGGAGCCGAGACCCGGGCGCACGCGGTGGAAGGGGCGCGGGGGATCAGTGGCCGGGCGTAGGGAGCGGGTGGAGAGGGACACGGGGACACGGGGACACGGGGACACGGGGACACGGGGACACGGGTCCCCGGCACCGCACACGCCCCACGCAGCGCGGCCCCCGCGGGGGTCTCCCGGCCCAGCGGCGACCCCGGGGGAGCCTCCGGGGCCGGAGCGGGAGCCGGGAGCGACGGGCGCGGGAGAGGGACGGCGACCCCGAGCCGGGCGACCCCCTGCAGACACGGCCAGCCTGGAGGTCGCGCCGCCCCCCGTCCCGGGACGGGGCACGACCTCGCTCTCTCGCCCCCGACGTCCTCTGGTCCGCGCAGGGCTCGGCGAGCCTGTCCCGGGGCTCCCGCGGTGGCCGCCGAGTCCAGCGCCCTCCAGGGGGCAGGCGCGGCCGCGCGAGCTCGAGCCTCGCCGCCCGGGACTCGGGCTCCGGCGCGGGCCCGGCCCGGCCCGGGTCAGCGAGCTCGGACACCCGGCGCGCACGGGGGGCGGCCGCCTGTCCTTACCGCGATCTGCCCCTCCGGGGGCACGTCCGCCGGGGCGCCCCAGTCCCGCGTCCCGTTCATCGCTCGGCGGGGCCGGAGCTCCGGCGGCGTCCACTCGGCGTCCAGCGCTCCGACTGCAGGTACAGCGGGTCCGGATCGGCTCGGGCTGGGCGCGCGCACCAGGACCGCCCCCGGCGGGGCCGCGTCGGGGCGGGGCCTGCGCGGGCCCCGCCCCGGGCCCCGCCAATGAGAGCGCAGAGCGAGCGAGGGGCGGGGTCTGATCGGGACACGCCCCGGGCCCCGCCAACGAGGGCGCAGAGCGAGAGAGGGGCGTGGTCTGCGCGGGACACGCCCCGGGCTACGCCAACGAGAGCGCAGAGCGAGCGAGGGGCGTGGTCTGCGCGGGACACGCCCCAAGCTCCGCCAACGAGGACGCAGAGCGAGCGAGGGGCGTGGTTTACGCGGGACACGCCCCGGGCTCCGCCAACGAGAGCGCAGAGCGAGCGAGGGGCGTGGTCTGCGCGGGACACGCCCCGGGCCCCGCCAACGAGAGCGCAGAGCGAGCGAGGGGCGTGGTCTGCGCGGGACACGCCCCGGGCCCCGCCAACGAGAGCGCAGAGCGTGCGAGGGGCGTGGTCTGTGCGGGACACGCCCCGGGCCCCGCCAACGAGAGCGCAGAGCGAGCGAGGGGCGTGGTCTTATCGGGACACGCCCCGAGCTCCGCCAATGAGAGCGCAGAGCGAGCGAGGGGCGGGGCCGGCCGGAGGACTGCGGAACTCTCCTGGTTCGGGCGGGGCTCGGAGCTACCTGGGCAGCTTCCATCCTTCCAGCTTCAAAACCTGTGCTGGGCGCCCCCCCACCCCGACCCCCGGCAAGATCGTACAGGTATCGCTGTCCTTGCTTGCTAATACCCCGGCTGCAACCCGGCAGATATCCAGGTAGCTTTATTATGTGCATACGGCCCTCCTATGCACCACCCGGATGCTAGACGTAGTTTGCAGCAACGGAAAAGTCTCCTAGGCGTCCCAAAGCGATAGGACAGCGGGGAGGGCATTTGTCCTGCACGCGGCCTGTCCGGGTTCAATCACTGGCATCCCATATGGTCCCCCACCCCCGCACCCCAGGCTGCCAAGGAGTGATCCCAGAGCGCAGAGCCAGGAGTAAATCCTGAAGGCGGGGCGGCGGTGGGGAAACTGGGGGCATTGGTGGTGGGGTGGATATTGGAACATTGTATAACTGAAGCCCATCATGAACAATTTTGTAACTGTATCTCACGGTGATTCAATGAAAAGGGGGGAGGAGAGCAAAACACTACCCTACATTCTCTCACTCTATATATATACACATATATATGTATATATATGTGTATATATGTGTGTGTGTGTGTGTGTGTGTGTGTGTGTGTGTGTGTACCCTCCTGTAAGTTTAGAGAAGCTGAGCAAACTTTCCTTCACCTTACAAAAGCAGCCACTAAAGGCCAGCTCACTCAGACTGGCTTAAGCCAGTCTGGTAGGTGCTTTTCCCAGCAGGAGGCCCCGGCCCAGCTAGGCACCCGGTGGAGCCTGTTTGCTGAAGCAGGTGTAACCAGGCTGCCCTTATACGGCTGGGAGAGGCTGGACGTTTTGCCTTAAAAGGAATCTGTGCTCTGTACTCCTGAGAAAGGGTTAGCAGTCACTTCTCCAGAGGTGTGTTCCCTAAGCTCTGGTAAGCATTTGAGGGCTTAGCATTTGAAGGCCTAGAAGACAAAGCGCCAGGCAGCTAAGACTCTGGGTGTTTAATTGCTCTCTGCAGGGCTCTGTCCCACTGGGGAGAGATGGCACAGAGGCTGTCAGGATGCCTGACCCCCTCTGGAGTGCAGTGAACCCCTTCTCAGGACAGGGCCACGTGGTCGCAAATGGTCAGCACTGCCCATCTCCAAGGATTCCCGTGTCCTGTGCTTGGAAGTTCTCATGAATGCTGGAATACCCCCCAAGAGACTGAACAGAAATTTATCCTGTCTCCCCAAATCCTCCAAGAAAGCATGTCACTGCCCAGCCAGCTGTCCAGGAGGGATGGAGTGCCTTTAAGCTTCCCCGCTGCCTAAGTGCCATCTGGTTCTGTCAAGGGCTTTTAAAGGAGAAAGAAACCCAGTTTCGAGAGGCAGGAAGTTAGTACGGCAAGCAGGGTGCTTGCCTTGCACGTGGCTGACCTGGGTTCAACCCCCCGCATCCCAGATGGATTCCCAAGCCCCACAAGGAGTGATCCCTGAGCATGGAGCAAGGAGTAAGCACCCCCCACCCAAATAAAAAAACAAACAAAAATAACTGTAGCACTGTAACACTGTTGTCCTGTTGTTCATCGATTTGCTCGAGAGGGCACCAGTAACGTCTCACAGCAAATTGTGAGACTTGTTACTGTTTTTGGCCTATCAAATACATCACGGGGAGCTTGCCAGGCTCTGCCGTGCGGGCGAGATACTCTCGGTAGCATGCCGGGCTCTCCGAGAGGGGCAGAAGAAAAACAAAAATAAGGGGGAAAAAAAAAAAACAGCTTCAGCCTCTAAGTTGTACAGTTCAAGTGACTTTTTCAAACAACTTGTGCCCCCACATAAGTCAGGGCTTGAGACAGAATACAGGGGTTGGGGCACTTGCCTTGCACATGACCTGCACTGGGACCACCAGCGTTGACCTTGACCAACCCTCCTCCTCCCCATTTTATTACTGTTGTTATTATTGGCTGCACGTTGCAGTGCTCAGAGCTTTCGCCTGGTCCTGAGGAGCTCAGTGACCATATAGGGGTGCTGGGGGTCGATCCCAAGCTGGCCATGTGCAAGAATTGTACTTGCTCTTGCTGTACTTGTGCCCAGCCTCAATTTGCAGCACAAGGCAAGGACCTTACTCACTGTACTCACTGCCCTACCCCCACCCCACCCCCACCCCCGCCATATTTTTTAGTTTGGGGGCCACACCCAGCAATGCTTGGGGTTACTCCTGCCGTTTCAGTAATCACTCCTGGCAGTGCTTGAGGGACCCTATGGGGTGCTGGGGATCGAACCCAGGTCAGCCACGTGCAGGACAAATACACTCCCTGCTGTTTTATCTCTCCAGCCCCCAATTTTTTTTTTTTTTTTTTTTTTTGCTTTTGGGTCACACCCGGCAATGCACAGGGGTTACTCCTGGCTCTGCACTCAGGAGTTACTCCTAGCAGTGCTCAGGGGACCATATGGGATGCTGGGAATCGAACCCGGGTCGGCCGCGTGCAAGGCAAACGCCCTCCCCGCTGTGCTATCTCTCCAGCCCCCCCCCCCCAATTATTTTTTTAAGGCCAGGAAAAAGGATGAGACAACAGCTCAAGGATTGCAGTATAGACATAGAGTTTTAATATTTAATTTAAATAAAATCAATGCTGGATTGGGAGAAATTTGAAAAATAAAAGCTTTGCTATTAAATCATGAAGTTACAAGTCATTGGTGCAAACCGCCGTTTTCCCCTCCTCCAGATGCCTTCCAGAGCTTCCTCTGGAACTGAGGTGAGTCTCCTTACGTCCTCCCCACCATGGCTGGGCCCCTTCAAAACTAGAAAGAGGGACAGACTCTCTGCGGCTTCTCATTTCTACCACGGAGCCAATCCGAGGACCAAATCTTTGGCCAGAGATGCTGAGGGCCCACTGGCTCCTTGCCGCCCTGGTTTGGACAGCCACAAGGCAGAGAGCAGAGATGAGAACTGTCACTTTGCAGACATGGGCTTCCTGAGGGCCACTGTCTCCTAGAAACCTCCAGTTTTCGCAGAGGCAAAGGAGAAGGGTGGGAACCCTTCTCGAACCCAGGTCTGAACACCTTCTCACAGCTCTCCCAGGCGGGGGAGAAGGCTGTTCCCCAGAGAGGTATGAATGCAGGTGGAAACAGAAGCAGCCCATCTCCTCGCCTCACCTAAGGCACGGAAGGGAAAGAAGGCGGCCGGAATGGTGGGGAGGGAAGGGTGGCAGAAAGGGTCCCTTGGAGCCCCTGGTTCAGAGAAAAAGAAAAAAAAAGAGTGAAGGCAGGTGGGGACCCCGGGGTTGCCCTAACTGCCAAGTAGTGCATTCAAGAAGTGTGCAGAGCCATGCCAGCGTGCCACGACCCGTCCCCCTTTCCCTCACCTTGCCCCAGAGTGGAAAGGAAATGGGTCTTGGGTTCTAGGGAGCAGAAGCACATCAGGTATTTCCCTGAGCCTGAGGGTTAAGGGCTAAAGAAATGAGGCTTTCTATCCAGGCCTTCTCGGCCCGTCCCAGAAGAGTTCATGATCCCACGAAGGACTCGGCAGGCCTGACACTCCACATGATCAGTGGAAGGAGGACAGCAGCGTGACACTGGGCAGATGCGTTGAAGCGCCCAGCTCACATCCCTCCCTGTCTCGGGCTGAAGAGTGGGGTCCCCCAAAGGAACTGGGGAGCTGAGCCGGGGCTAACAGGAGCTGGTCTGCAGGCCGCTCTCCGTGAGCAAGGACGCGATGGAGTTTGGGTTGTAGACTCCGTCAAACTCCTCATCTGAGCTCAGCCCTTCGTGCTGGAGGCTGGACTCGGCAGTGGACCGGGCAGCTTTGCGCCTGAGTCAGAGTGAGATATTGGTCAGGGAGGGAGAAACTGAGGCAGGCCCCCTTCTCCGGCTATGGAAACAAATGCCCCACTCTCCCAAGGCCCAAAGCTACTCACTAGATCCCTTAATAGGCAGAGATTAGAAGACCAGAGAAACAATACAGTGGGGTGCAATGGTTGCCGTGATCCCCAGCACTATAGAGGGTCCCCCGAACCCAGCCAGGAACGATTCCTGAGCACAGAGCCAGGAGTAAGCCCTGAACACCGCCAGGGATGGCCCCATAACCAAACCAATCTACCGGAGATTTGGACTGAGGCCCTGTGGATCAGCCTGGGCTGCAGCAAGAGTGTGGGGAGGGCGCACACCCTCTCCACAGCTGGTCGGGCTCCGTCCCCAGCACCCCGTATGGTCCTCTGAGCACTGCCAGGAGTGATCCCTGAGCACTTTGGGGAGTGACCCCACCAAAAAAAAAAGCTTAGCAAGCTGGCTTCCACACCACGGCATGAGAAGTCCCTGTCATCCCCTCACCAGGAGTCCTTCTCCAGGGCTCTGATCCGGGCCTGGAGCTGCTCGTTGGCTTCATGCTGTTCCTCCAGCTCCCGCTGGGCCTTCTTCCTCAGGCTGTCCAGACGCTCAATTTCCTCTTCGGCTTCGTCCACCTGCCGCTTCAAAGCCTTCACCCTCAGGCTTAGCTGGCAAGAGTCAGGAAAACGCAAAACTGAACCGAAAAGGCATCAGTCGCTCATGTGGCCGTTCTGGGCAGAATCACTGGCCGAGAGAAGTGCTGTGGGCACGGGCGAGCTGCCAGCCCGCAGGGGCCGTCTATCAAGTGAGTGAACACACGGAACCCGCTTCGAGAAGCCAAACTATGCATTACGGTGGCTGTTCTCATTGGGGTCTGCCAGTCACCTCTGCCCTCCGGCCGAGTGCAGACGACTGAAGTCATGGGGCTGCCCGTGGCTTCCAGGCAAACTGTAAGTGCATCTTTGTGGCGTGGCCCCGGGGTCAGCCATACCTGGTCCTTCTGGTCGTTGACGTGCTGCCGTTCGTCGTCGATCTGGATGGACAGTTCTTTCACTCTGCGCTCCAGCTTGCGGTTGGTGGACTGCAGCACCGTCTTCTCCCTGCAATGCGGGCTGTGGCGGTGGCCTGGACTCTCTGTCCCAGCCTCCTCTGCTCTCTGCTCCCCTGCGAGGTCAGTCCAGGAGGGCGGGCTGGGCACGAGGGACTGCCCGGGTACCTGTCCTCTGCTTGCAGCCGCTCCTGCAGCTCCCGATTCTGGGACTCCAGCTGCGAGAGGCTGGCGCTGGGCTTCTGGAAGCCTTCCGAGCTGGCCAAGCGCCCCTTCAAGTCCTTGTTCTGCCAAGAATGGGGGGCCCTGGTGGTCAGTCCCGAGGGAGGGGTGGCATGCAGACCCCACTCCCGGGGGCCGCCCCCTACACCCTGTCAGATACCTGTCTCTCCAGAGAGATCTTGTCACACTCCAAGTCCTGCCGCGCGGACCTCTCCTGCATGAGCTCAGTGCGCAGCTGGTCGACCTGGGTAGAGGGACAAAAGGAAATGGACTTGGGAGGACCAAAGATGAACCCCCGAACTGAACCCACGGAGGGTCTCGGTCCCCCAAGTCCCAGGGGGCGGCTAAGAGAGCACGGCCTCTGCGGCCTCGGACCCAGCGTTCCTGCCACTCACTGTCCACTCCCCATCTGACCAGAGGGCACCTCAAGCAGAGCCGCCCGCAGGTCCTGGAGGCAGAACTCCTGGTTGAGGCCAGCGCTGGGGGCGGCGGGGGGTGGACACGACAGGCGAGGGGGTGCCGGCGGGAGGGGCTACCTGGTCCCGGCTGCGGTTGATCCGATCGGTCAGCAGCTCCACTGTGTTCCGCTCCTCGTCGAGCTCCACTTCCAGCCGGGACACCTTTTCCTGCAGCAGTGGGTCAGCAGGTCAGCTCTGCCCCAAGCTGGGCTGCCCAGCTCGGGGCAGGCACCTCTCCTCCAGCTCACGTCCAGGGAAGCTGTCAGTCTGGCGCCCCCTGCTGGCCAGGGCACGGTGACCAACCGAGGCCAGCAGCACTCCACGCCTCTGAAGGATGCTGAACCCCAGAATCTGGTCCTCACCCAGGCAGCCCCAGAAACCCAAGGGCTGAGCCATGGCTGAGAGGAGAGAGCCCAAGCCTGAAGCATCCGGCAGACTGGGGGCATCATAGAGCCCACCCACAGAGTCTGGGTGGGCTCGGGCCAAGCTGCCTCTCAGCTCAGAAACCACACCCAGCATGGCCAGCAGGCCCGCGCCAGACGCATCACTTTCCTGCATCTCCGTTTTCCTTTTCTGGAAATGGGGAAAAGCAAGATGACCGGCTGCACAACCGTATCCTGAGTCTCTGGCCCAGCGCACCATCAACACGTTTGCAGCTGCCGCTGTTACTGGTGTGTTGATGTGAAAGCCCGAAGAGAGCAAACTGAAGCTCACTGCTCAAGAAGCCTGGGCCGGAGAGACAGCACAGTGGGTACCTTGCACACAGCTGACCCACGTGTGTTGCCTTGCACACAGCTGACCTGCGTTCACTCTCCAGCATCCCACATGGTTCCCCGAACACCACCAGCAATAACTCCTGAGCACTGGGCCAGGAGTAACTCCGAGCATTTGCGGGCATGGTCCAAAAACAAAAAAAAAAGTGATAGCACAGTGGGTAGGGCACGCAGCTTGCCTTGGGTTCGATCTCCAGCATCCCAGATGGTCTCCCAAGCACCGCCAGGAGTGATTCCTGAGTGCGGAGCCAGGAGTAACCCCTGAGCATCGCTGGGTGTGACCCAAAAAGCAAAAAAAGAAAAGAAAAAGTGGGTGCGGTGCCACCAGCAGGTCAACCTGTACTTGCAGGGAGAGTGCATCAGCAGCCTGATGGTGCCTTCAGGCTTCCTGACACCCAAAATTGCTGCTGTGCCTCTGGCCGGGACCCCAATAACTCGGGACCAAGTTTCCCAAGAAATTAAAGAGCCAAAAGTTAGGTATGTGGTTACACGAACAAGGTTCCGGTATGTGGCTTTCAGGACTAAGTCTCAGACCGGCTCCCAGCCCGCCCCTGATGCTGAAAATCATGCCTGCATCCCACCCCCGGTGCCATTTTGGTACACCAACAGCCCGGGCCCAGAAATTCCCAGTTGAATCCCAAGACGGAATAGCTCCCTACAGAGATATCTCTGGAACCCACCCATTTATGATCTTAGAATTTCAGAAGCGTGCAGCAGCCACATAAGCGGCCGCATGATCTTTCAAAATATGCAAAATGAGCATAAATGAAAATAAATGATCGAGCTTCTCCCTTGGAAGACAGGCTTGAATGGTGGTGGGGAAATTCGAGCAAAATATAATGCCTCCCCCCATAGGGCTGGAGCAATAGCACCGTGCATAGGGCGTTTTCCTTGTACGCGGCCAACCCGGGTTCGATTCCCAGCATCCCAGATGGTCCCCCGAGCACCGCCAGGAGTAATTCCTGAGTGCATGAGCCAGGAGGAACCCCTGAGCATCGTCAGGGGTGACCCAAAAAGCAAAAACAAACAACAAAAAAAACCATAATGCCCCAAAATAGAGAGAATATCTGAGCAATTGTCTGCCATCGAGGCAGGATGAGGACTGGGATGGAGGGGAGGTATATAATGGGAACATTGGTGGTGGAAAGTTTGCACTGGTGGAGGGATGGGTGTTCAATAGTTGTATGGCTGAATCTCAAACAGGAAAGCTTGTAACTGTATTTCACAGTGGTTCAATAAAAAATTTTTTAAAAAAAAGTTCAGTATGTGGGAACCAGGCCACAAACCACCTCCGACTCAGCTATGTAAGCTCATTCATCAGCCTTGCTTCAGAGACCCAGAAATAAATCTTGAAAGAGATCAAAAGCCGCAGTTCATCTTGGACCCCCACAGGGCTGAACAGACCAGAGTAAACTGGAGGGGAGCAGATCAGTGGTGCCCGCCCAAGCAGAGCCCCCAGCAGCCACTCGCTTCCACAGTCCGAAATCACCGCCTTGCCACCAGCCGGACTCCACCAGCTCAGGACGGATCTCAGCAAGACATTAACCTGTCGAAAATTTGGGTGTGCGGGTTTTATGACTGAAATTTCCAAGCTATCTCAGAGTTGGGACAGGCTACCTCCCCCACTTTCCTATACTCCCGGAATCACCAGCTGTCACCCCACAAACCAACTCCAGTGCCATCGTGTAAGTTCTTCTACCGTCTTGCTTCAGAGACCCATAAATCTCGAAAGAAATCAAAAGCCACAGTTAATCTTGGACCCACGCAAGGCTGAAAAGACCAGGATAAATTGGACGGGTGCAAGGCTGGTGCCCACCCAAGCAGAGCCCCCAAAAGCCACTTGCTTCCACAATCCAAAACCGCCACCATGCCCCCTGCCGGATTCCACTACCTCAAGACAGACCTAACTGAAATATAATCTGCTGAAAATTTGGGTTTGCAGGTTTTTGTGACTGAAATCTCCAGGCTTTCTCGAGGTCGGATGGGCTACCCCCACTCACCTCCCTGGACTTCCGGAAGCCTCGGCAGTCACATCCACACCCCAAAGCTGACACCCAGTTGAAAAACCTACTCCATCCAGCCTTACCTTCTCGATAAAAATACTGAACATCCTGAACAAACATGATGACCTCTTAGTACCTGTATTGCAAACCCTAATGCACAAAAGGAGAGCGACAAGAAAAGTGCCTGCCATAGAGGCAGGCGGGAGTGGGGGAGGGAGTGGAGTTGGGGGTGAGGTTGGGAGGGAACAAGGGTCCTTGGTGGTGGGAGGTGTACACTGGTGGAGGGATGGGTGTTGGATCATTGCATGGCTGAAGCCCAACCATGAGCAGCTTTGTAATGTCTATCTCACGGATATTCAATTAAAAATTAAAAAAAAAAAAAGAAAACAGGAACAATGGCGGAGGGAAGGTCACATTGCAGTGGGATTGGTACTGGAACGTCAAAAGCCCATAACAACTGTATTATGAACAACTTTGTAAACCATAGTGTTCAAATAAAAATAAATTTAAAAACAAAAAAAGCAAAATGGAGCAGCAGCTGGTCAGCACCAGAATCAGAAGCCCTAGACGAGTTAACTAAGTGAATAAAAGAAACTAGAAAACTTAATGTGCTTTTCTTGGGGGTGGTTGGGGGGGGGGGGGAGATCACATTTGAGAGTGCTCAGGGCTCACTCCTGCCTCTAAATGCAGTGGTCGCTCCTGGTGGTGTTCAGCAGACCATATGGGGAGCCAGGATTTGGACCAATGTTGTGGCCACAGCCAAAATCAAGACAAGCGCCTTGACCTCTGTAGTATCTCTCCAGCCCCGAGAAAACCATCTTGACACTCTCTCCGCACACTGTCACACTGGGAGCCAAGTCAAGAAAGCTTACGATGCTGTGGCCACACAATACCCACAGGCCTGAGGATTCCTGCTGCCCAGTCGCAGCCGCCCCGGGGACACCGGGCACCCTGCAGGGTCGCACCTCCAGGCTCTTGACTTGCCGGGTCCTATCATCCTGTGAGCGCCTTTTCTTCTCTGCCTCTTGCTCCAGTCCCTGCAGTCGTTGTGCCAGCAGTTCCTTGTCCAGCCGGGCTGTGTCCAGGTCAGCCTGGGAAGCCTGCAGGGTCTGACGCAGCCTCTGGGTCTGAGCAGAAGGAGAAATGCCGGCGGGTCAGGCGGGCGGCTGGGGTGCAGGGTGCGGGCAGTCCTCCTACCCCGGGGAGGATATTCCACGGCTGACGTCCTTCAAATCACCAGAGCGCGATGACAGTGAACACTGAGTGACTCCGGGTCTGGTTCTGGGTTTTGGAGTTCTCCACACAACCTGGAAATTAGTTAGCCACCAGGTTTCTAGAATCCCGGTCCTGGCTCTCCGGAAGTGCAATGACGGAGTGGCAGAGGCCGTGGCTCAGACACAGGGTCCCTGCTCTGGAAAGGCAGAGCACTGCTGTCTGGAATGACTGGTGGCTTATAAGGGGCATGGGACGGAGGAATACGGGAGGCATCAAAAAAGTCTTGCACAGAATAACTAGAGATTGAGCTGATCCAGCAAGCCCACTTCTGAGAAGAGACCCCGGGGACTCAAAAACACACAGCACAAACGCCATCTGCACTTCCACGTTCACTGCAGCACAAGTCACAAAAGCCTTAATCTGGAAACAACCCGAGTGCCCGAGAACAGATGAGTGGTTAAAGAAACGATGGCACATCTCTACACTACGGAATATTATGCGGCTGCCAGGAAAAATTAAGTAATGGTATCTGCTTGTACATGGGTGGACATGGAGAGTATTATGCTCGGCAAAGTGAGTCAGAGAGAGAGGGACAGACAGAATGATTCCACTCGTTTGCGGGATATAATAAAACACAGTATGAGACGAATACTGAAGAACAGTCAAAACAAGGGGTAGGAGGATGGGGAGGACGAGAGTTAGGATAGAGCAGGGACCACTATGACAATGACAGTTGGAAAGGATCACTCTGGGTAAGAACTGAGTGATGAAAGGAGGTGAAGGAATATACATTAGAACCTTTCAGTACCTGTATTGCAAACCAAAATGCCCAAAATGAAAGAGAGAGAGAAAGAGAAAGTAAAAGTGCCAGCCATACCAGCAGCCTGGGGTGTGGGGAGGTGATGGCCGGAGGGAAACTGAGGACAGGGGTGGTAGCAAAGGTACACTGCTGAAGGGACAGATGTCGGGTTCTTATAGAACTAGAACTCAGCCATGAGCAATGTTGTAACTGTGTATCTCACGGTACACTCAATTAAAAAAAAAACAGAATAGAATAAGAAGCCATCATTAACCATATATTGTAAATCACTGGACCTCAGCTTGTTTTGTTTTGTTCTAAAATCACACCCAGCAATGCCCAGGAGATATCCTGGCTCTGCACTCGGGTATGATCCGTGGCAGTGCTTGGGTGACCATATGAGATGCTGGAGATCGAACCCCGGTCAGCCATGTGCAAGTAAATATCCTACCAGCTATAAGAGCTCTCCACCCCCCAGGACCTCAATATTAAACAATAAAAAAACAAAACAACATTTTTTTTCATTTTCTGCATATAAAGTCATAGTAATAATGTTCCCAGATATCCCAACTAACTTACCAATCACATGAAGAAAAAAAACCAACTATTTGGTTTTGTGTGTGTGTGTGTGTGTGTGTGTGTGTGTGTGTGTGTGGTGAATGGCTCAGTATCACTCCTGGCGGTGCTCAGGAGACCACATGGGATGCTGGGGATCGAACCCATGTCAGTAGCGTGTAAGGCAAACATTCCACTTTTAGATACAGGGGAACCTGCACAGGACGCTCTCAGCCTCCCAGGTGAGTGGGGTCTAAAGACGCCCTCTCCAGCCCTCGCCCCCCACCCCCACTCCCACACAGTTCCCTAACCTCCCCGCCCCGCTCTGCGGCGTCACAAGACCCCTGGGTGAGTGAGTTCCAGACCAGCAACTCCCACCTCATCTTGGAGCCGGCTGAGGCCCCCAGAGGACTTCTCGGCCTCACTGGCCCACTCCTTGGCCTGGCGCTGGGCGTCGGCCACCTCGCGCCGGGACTTCTCCTTGTAATCCTCCAGCTGGGACTGCAGCTGCTGCAGGGCCTGCTTCGAGTCCTCCCCGATTTGTTCCAGCTGAGGGGCAGAAGGAAGGGCTCAGCCCGCTGCCCCGCCCCTCACAGAGCCCCTCCCACACAGAGCCCCCTCCTCCCACACCGGGCCCCTTCCATACTGAGTCCTCCTCGCGGCCTCCCCACAGCATCCCACCAGAGCCGCGCAGGCTGCTGGGGTTCACATCTTGCCAGTCCTAATACTGATTCGCTGTGCGACTGCAGGCAACTTCGTAGCTTCTCTGAGCCCAAGCTGCCCCACCTATAAAATGGGCTAACAAGGACTAGCTCAGAAGCTCTTCTGAGAACGACTTGAATTGACTGTGGAAAGTCCTTGCAACAGCATCTGAGACCGCGGAAACCTGAAATCACCTTATTTCAACCACCTCCAGGTTCATACAGTTCTAAGACATCACTGGAAAAGGGAAACTCGCCACTCAAAGCACGACAGACACATTTTCTTCTTTCCCTTAGTGTCTGGGCCACACCCGACAGTGCTGAGGGCTTTCCCCTGGCCCTGCACTCAGGGATCACTCCTAAAGGGGCTGGGGACAGTCCCCCAGATCAAGCCCACCTGCTGCGCTGTCAATCGCACCCTGAGTTATTAGATAGCTCAGAGGATTCGAGGAGGAGATACAATGGGCTGGTTAGAACTGATGAGCTAGCCCGCATGGCAAAGCCTGGCCAGCTCCCCGTGGCGTCTTCGATATCTCAAACACAGTAACAACATGTTACTGTGTCTCACCATGGAGACGTCACTGTGCCCGCTTGGGCAAATCGATGAACGGGAGGACAGTGACAGTGACAGTGATCATAGAGGGATCAGCAGGAGAACCTTATCTAGAAAAAGGCAATTCGAGGGGCCGGAGAGGTAGCACAGCGGTCCTTGCTTGTCTGGCATGCAGGTGACTCAGGTGGTGTCCCCAGCCCTCCCAGGAGTGATCCCCGAGCACTGACAGGGGTGGCCCCAAAACAAAACACAGAGAGCACGTCTTTCCCTTGGCCTCCTTCCTGTGGCGCGCCTGTGCCAGTCGGACACACGACGCGTCTCTCCTGGTTTCTGGCACGCGGCTCCCTGCGCCCTCGGTGACTGCAGAGGGGCCAAACGCGGGTGTCCCCAGCCCGCGGGCACCCCCAGCCGGGCCTCGCCCATCGCAAGGTCAAAGCAATAAGAAACGGGCAGTGCCGAGGGGCCACCACGGTGCCAGCCGCCTCCTGGGCACAGCCCAGCCAGCCCCCCGCGCCCCCCGCGCCGGGCCCACCTCCTTGTTGAGCCTCTCCACGGTCCTGTCCAGCAGCCGCTTCTGCTCCTCCAGCTCGGCCTTGCCCCGGCGCAGGGCCTCCCGCTGCTTCCCCTCCTCCTCCAGGGCGCGCGCGAGGTCCTGCCGCTCCTGCCCCATGCGCGACAGCCCGCGCTGCGCCTCCTCCAGGCGGGCCTCCAGCGCGCGCTTGGCCGCCGCCAGGCTCCCCTCCTCGGCCTGCGCCTCGCACAGGGCTTCCTCCAGCCGCTGCTTCTCCACCTGGAGAGGCGGGAACGCTGCAGTTGCTGGGGTGGCCCCAAAACAGTCCAAAGGAAAAGTGGGGCAACAGCGATCGACGCACTCCAGAGCAGGGAAGAGAGGGAGACGCGGGGCAGAAATGCCAGGCCGGCCACAGGCCAGCAGGTGAGGCTCTTGCCTGGCTCTTAGCCCACCCAGTTTCGGTCCCTGGCACCCACCCCCCCAGGACAAAAATACTAGTGCAGAGCTAGAGAGATAGCACAGTGGGTAGGGCGTTTGCCTTGCACGCGGCCGACCCGGGTTCAACTCCCAGTGTCCCATATGGTCCCCTGAGCACCGCCAGGAGTAACTCCTGAGTGCAGAGCCAGGAGGAACCCCTGTGCATCGCCGGGTGTGACCCAAAAAGCAAAAAAAAGAAAAATATTAGTGCAGAGGCCGAGACATTCCCACCAGGGCGGACCCCAGGAATAAAGGCAGGTGAACTTGGGGCTGGGGGCCTGACACTAGGACTGGGGACTGAGTCTTTTTGGTTTTTTTTTTTTTCTTTTTTGGGTCACATCCAGCGATGCTCAGGGGTCATCCCTGGCTCTGCACTCAGGAATCACTCCTGGCGGTGCTCGGGGGACCATATGGGATGCCGGGGATTGAACCCGGGTCGGCCACGTGCAAGGCAAACGCCCTCCCCGCTGTGCTATCGTTCCGTTGAGTCTTTTTTGTTTGTTTCGTGGTTTTCTTTGGTTTTCACGGAGGGCCGCACCCACACCCGGCAGTGCTCAGGGGTCACCGCAGGCAGAGCTTGGGGGACCATAATGGGCATCAAGGATGGAACCGGACCATGTGTGTGCCAAGTGCCCTAACTGCTTGTGCTGTCGCTCTGGCCTTGACTTTATCTGGGGCGGCGAGGGGGGCCTCACAGGCAGTGCTCAAGGCTGGGGACACTCCCAGGGATTCTCACCAAGCAGTGAGGCTGAGAGTGAGGAGGCCACAGTGCTCAGGCCTGGGTACGGGTGTGGGGGGGGGGCGGGGGGGGGGCGCGCTACGGCCCCCAGCTGGGATCTGTGCTCTGTGCTACTCCGTCCCGAGAGGCCCTGACCTCAAGTCGCTGCAGCTTGTCCCGAAGTCGCGCCTCCGCCACTTCCCCGCCCTCCGCCAGGCCTCGGGTCTCCTTCAGCTGCTGCTCCAGACCCAGGATGCGGCGGCGGAACTCGTCGTTCTCGCCCTGGGTCTCCCGAAGGGTCGTTTCCACGGCCACCCGCCGCTGTGCCAGCACCGCTGCTTCTGCCTCTGCTGCCGTGCGAGCCTGCCGCAGGGTGAGGGGGCGGCTTAGACCCCGGGGCCCAGGGCCGCGCCACCCCTCCCTCCCGGGAAAGGCATCAAGGGGGAGGGGACACCACCAGTCTGGGGCTTCCCTGGGGTTCCGCGTGCTGCAGAGGTGAGGGGGTGTCACAGGCCCAGCCCCGGCCAGCCGGGCACACGCTCGCTGGACCAGGCATCCGGTCAGGACACAGCAGGGCAGGCCCACGACAGGCGCTCTGGCAGGCGAGCCCTCCGGACCCCTGTGTCCACTCCCCTTGCCTTGGTGGCCTCTGCACAGTCCTGGTTCAGCTGCTGCGTTCTCTTCTGCAGCTGCAGGTTCTGCTGCTCGAGCTCCTGGACTCGCGCAGTCTCTTCCTGCAGCTTCTTTTCCAAGTCCCGTTCGCGCTGCTGCCCAGACGCCTCCCAGCTCTGCTGCTCGGCCTGCAGGGACTTCAGCTCCTCCTCCATCAGACGCAGCTCCTGAGACGGAAGGAAACACCCGTGTGCGGCCACGGCTGGGGGACGGGGCTGGCGGGCTGCCTGCAAGGGGCTCTGGCCGTGTCTCGCACAGCTGGCCCCAGCGAGCCTCCAACCACCGCGTCCACTCCTAGCCAAGAGCATCAAAAATCTGTGTTCAGGGGCTGGAGCGATAGCACAGCGGGGAGGGCGTTTGCCTTGCATGCGGCCGACCCGGGTTCGAGTCCCAGCATCCCATGTGGTCCCCTGACACCACCACGAGTAATTCCTGAGTGCAGAGTCAGGAGTAACCCTGTGCATTGCTGGGTGTTACCCTCCCCCCCCCCAAAAAAAAAGAAATCTGTGTTCAGGGCTGGCACAATAGCATGGTGGAGAGGGCGCTCGCCTGGCACACGGCTAACTCGGATTCGATTCCTGAGTCCACCAGGAATAAGCCCTGAGTAAGATGCCTCCCCCGCGCAAAAAAAAAAGAAAAAAGAAAATCTGCATTCACCAAAACCTTGTACACAAATGTCCACAGCAAATGACTCTCGTATCTATCAATTACCAAACAGAAAAACAAAATAGTTTATCCATACAAGGAGTAGATTTTTCAGTCACTAAAAGTACTTAAGTATTTATTTAAAAATAAATAAAGAATTGGTGCTGCTCTGTGAATGAATCTTAAAACCATCATGCCAGGCCAGGGAGACTGCTGATGGGGTCTGAGCACATGTTTTGCATGGTGGGTCCCTGCTTCAACACCAGGCCGCTCAGTACCAACCCCATGAGCCCAACCAAAGCCACAAGATTAAGAAGAGGGCTTGGGGGCCAAAGAGTTGGGGTGAGCAGGGCACCTGCCTTGCACATGTCCAACCTGGGCTTGATCCCCAGCACCCCTGACTGCCTGTCCTCTGAGCCCTGGCAGGAATGTTTCCTGAGCTAAGAGCCAGGAGTCAGCCCTGATCAGCATCACTAGGTGTAGCCCCCAAACAAAATGAATCACCCCAATTTCACACAAGCAGTCTTCCTATAGCACAGGTATGACAAATACGCAGGGACTCACGAATATTTGCTCTATGTCATTTGTATCATAGTTGAGGTGACACAGTTACTAATTACTACTTGTTACTGGATACCGCATACCAAGCATGGTGAGGCCAGGAAGCGCAGGCTGCCCAGGGAGCCTCAGGAGACTATAAATGACAGTTCCCTATAATCGGTGACAATATTTTCTAAGTCTCAAAACCATCTACAATAACTGGTTGCGGGGCTGGAGCGATAGCACAGCGGGTAGGGCGTTTGCCTTGCATGCAGCCATCATGGCCGACACAGGTTCGATTCCCAACATCCCATCTGGTCCCCCGAGCACCGCCAGGAGCGATTCCTGAGTGCATGAGCCAGGAGTAACCCCTGAGCATCGCTGGGTGTAACCCAAAAAGAAACAATTAATTAATTCATTAATTAATTAAATAAAACAACTGGTTGCTTCGTTGTCTTTGATGGGCTAAAAGGTCAGCGACATGAAGACATTTTTGTGAGCTCCCTCTGATTTTATGATCTTATCATTTCTATTATCCAGATTATCTAATATAAAGGATTTTCTCCAGGGAAAAGAGCAAATGCAGCAGGATTGTCCCCAGACATGTCGGGCTGTGCCTCGGGCTGAGCCTGGCGCCTTGCTCGAGGGTCAAAGCGCTTCCTCTCTAAGCATCTTCCGGTCACAACCTGGCCTCCGATGTAGGTCATCTGGCCACGCCACACACATGTCCCGGTGCAGAGGACAACTCTGTGCTTTGTTCACTAAGAAGCTGCCACTGGGGCTGGAGCGATAGCACAGCAGGTCGGGCGTTTGCCTTGCACGCGGCCGACCCGGGTTCGATCCCCGGCATCCCATATGGTCCCCCAAGCACCGCCAGGAGTAATTCCTGAGTGCAGAGCCAGGAGTGACCCCTGAGCATTGCTGGGTGTGACCCAAAAAGGCAAAAAAAAAAAAAAAAAATTAAAAAAAAAAAAAAGAAGCTGCCACTTCCCACCCGGTCCTCAGGAGGCTTCTGAACGTGTGAAAACGACCCTGGATTTTCACAAATGCGACTCCCCGCCGAGGTCTCTTGGGATGCTGCCAGCAACTGCTGGCCGGGACTGCACCTGGCCATCACCAGGGCCCCGTCCACTCCAGACCTGGACCTCACACTGGGCGTGTGGGGGTCGTGTGCGGGGAGGGGAGCCCAGCTAGGGGAGTGAGTAGGACTCAGCGCTGCTCCCCTGCCCTTCCAGCTCCCCATCCCACCTACCTTCCGGAGCTCCTCCACCTGCCGAGACCCTCCAGCCCCGGCGCGGGCCTGCGCTAGTTCCCGATGCAAGGCCTCCATCTTCTCCCCGAGCTCCTCCTCCATCTCGTCCTTCTCCATGCGCAGCTGCAGGAGCCTGACCCAGAAGCACAGGGGAAGGGAGGGGGCAGGTCAGCCCACTGGCCCTGGCATCCCTGGCATCGTGCAGGACCACAGAGCCAGCCCCGAGCCAGCACCCTGGACACGGAGAGGAAGCATCGGAGCATGGGGGTAAGAGGGCCAGGGGCCTCCCACATGGCACAGGGTACCACGACCCAGGACCCAAGGATGGCAGGGGTCCACGGCCGGCGCTGGGTCTTACTCCTGCTTGGCCGCCCGTAGCTCCTCCTTGTTCTTCTGGAACATGGTCTGCCAGTGCCCGGTCTCCTCCGAGGTCTCCTCCAGCTCCCGCTGCAGCCCCCGCACCAGGGCCGACATCTTCTGCCTCTCGGCCTCCAGCGCCGCCTGGTCCTAGGGGAGAGGCAGGTCAGGAGCCAGGAGGGGCCCCCAGAGCACACGCAGCCCCTCAGCTGACTCCCTGGGACCCGGGACCAGGCCAGCCAGAGGCATCCGCCTCTCCATCCCCACCCGCTCACGTCCAGGGACCATCCGGCCGCAATCTGCGCTGCCTCCTTTGGCCCGGCAGGCCCAGGGCCACTGCGCCGCACACGTGTGTCGCACTGTGACGAGTGGCTCAACCGTGCGGCGCTGGCCTTGCTAGCGCGAGGCCCCGGCTTCCGTCCCACACCACAGAACCCCGTGCCCTGCCCTCCCGGCCCCGCCCCGGCCGCATGCCTGGCTGGCATCCTGGATGCTCCTCCGAAGCTGCTCCGTGTCCCTCTGGCACTGCTGCCGGACGTGTTCCACCTCCTGGTCGCGCGAGGCCACCTCCTCCTTCAGGGCCCCCTTCAGGGCCGTCAGCTCCCGCTCCCGCTGCCGCAGCTGCTCCTCCATCCGCTGCTTCCCCTCCAAGACTTCTTCCAGAAGCTCCCGCGTCTCCAGCAGGTCCTGGGGGAGAGGAAGGACAGGACAGAAATGACCCTCTGAAGCCCACCTGCCCATCAGTTCATTCGGCCCATCAAGAGACAGGAATCCTGGGAAGACAGGGCAGTTGGGGGGGATGCTGGCCTTGCCTGCAGACGACCCAGGATTGATCCGCAGCCTCCCCATGTGGTCCCTGAGCCCTCCAGAATGATCCCTAATCCCTGAGCACAGAGTCAGGAGTAAGCCCTGAGCACGGCCGATGTGGCCCAGACACAGGCCAAAAAAAAAGCATGGACATTAGGGGGCTGGAGAGATAGCACAACGGGTAGGGCGTTTGCCTTGCATGCGGCCAACCTGAGTTCGATTCCCAGCATCCCATATGGTCCCCTGAGCACCGCCAGGAGTAGCTCTTGAGTGCAGAGCCAGGAGTAACCCTGCTGCATTGCCAAGTGTGACCCAAAAAGCAAAAAAAAAAAAAAGAAAAGGCATGGACATTAGTTTTTAGAGTCCTCTCCCTGCTCGGTGTGTGTGTGTGTGTGTGTGTGTGTGTGTGTGTGTGTGTGTGTAGGTGGTCAGGGGAAGGCGACTGGCTTGGGTCACACCCAGAAATGCTCAGGGCTGGGGGCTAGAATCATAGCACAGTGGGCAGGGCATTTGCCTTGCACACGGCCGACCCGGGTTCGATTCCCAGCATCCCATATGGTCCCCCGAGCACCACCAGGAGTTAATTCCTGAGTGTAGAGCCAGGAGTAACCCCTGTGCATTGCTGGGTGTGACCCCCCCCAAAAAAAAAAAGAAAAAAGAAATGCTCAGAGGTTACTCTCAGAAAAGTGCTCTGCTTGCTTCTGGAGGTGCTTGGGGGGGGCCATCTGTGAGTGCGGGAGTGGAGCCTGGGCCTCCAACAGGCAAAGGCTGGTTTGAGGGCCCAGTGCACATGCTTTGCACTAGTTTCCATTCTTGGTCCTTTCAGGACAACGCAGCTGTGACTGGCCCAAAAAATGAAAGAGAAAAAAAGAGTAGTGGTGGGCTGACCAAGTAGCTCGTGATAGAATACATGTCTTGCGTGTGAAGACCTGGGTTCAAGGCCCAGCACTGTGCAAGAGAAAAGAGGAAGGCAGAAACAATCAGGTCACTTGAGTCTATCAGGCACGGTACCAGCTCTCAGGTCCCAGGAGCCCAGTTTCGACAAAAGAAACCCACCAGTCCCAGCTGGCCTAAGAGCACTTTCATGGGCCGCCCAGATATCACACCCCCGACTCTGGGAAGACGGACGCGCTGCGAGGCTGCTTGGGCCAAAGAGAAAGAGAGGTGCGAGGTGCCCGCCTGGCCCTACCTTCATCAGCCCCTCCTTAGCGGGCACGGGCCGCTGTTTCAGTTGGTCCTGCAGCTCCATCACCTGCGTCTCCAACCCACTTCGGACCCGTCCGGCCTGGTCCAGGAGCAGCCTCAAGTTCTGGAGCCTGGTGAGGAGGGTCGAGCTCAGAGACGGCCAGACACAGACCCGGGGCGGTGTCCCTCGGCCTCAGGCCAGACCCACTCTCACCTCTGCCCCCACCTCCTCAGCTTCCCTGCTGGACACTCCCTCTGCCCCTGAAAGCACTGCCCTGGAGAGCAGGGCTCTGCATGGGCGTGGTGGTCTCCAGCCTGGGCCCCTGGTGAAGGGGGGACTCCGAGTGACCCCCCACCCAACAGCACTCACTCGGTGCCGCTCTGCCGGCTCTCGCCCTGCTGCCTCTCCAGCAGCGCCTGCAGGCGGGTGCACTCCTCGGCCTTCTCCTCCAGCTGCCGCTCCAGCTCCAGCCGGGATGGCTCCAGCACCTGTCGCTTCTGGAAAGGCGGGAAAGGAAGCACCAGGATGAGCAGAGAGGCCTGGCAGGCTCGGACAGGGCGGTGACAGATGGAAGCATGATGGGCCGGAAAAATAATACAGTGGGGAAGGTGCTTGCTTTGCAAGTGGCCGACCCAAGTTCAGTCCCTGGCACCCCCTGGGGTCCCCCAAGCACTGCCAGGAGTAATTCCTGAGTGCAGAGCCAGGAGCAATCTTTGAGCACTGCTGGGTGTGATGCCCTCAACTCCCAAAGAAGCAGAAACGAAAGGAAAATGACAAGCAGAACTTCTGAGACTCGCCACAGAAGCACCACCCAAGTGGTTGGTCCTCCCGCTCTCTTCCGGCTCTCTCACTGGGAGCCAGAACAGCCGTCCTGAAAGCCCTCGGCAGCCCCGGGAAGAGGGGACAGTGGGGAGCTGGCCCCCAGCAACTGCCACGAGTAGGATGTTCCGGAAGAGATCACAACGCTTGCCAAGTCTTCCAATGACAAGAGTCCCTGATGAGACGTTGCCTGGCGGGGCGGCAGCTAAGAGGCTCCCTCCCCGTCTCCTTCCCAGCATCTGACTGAAAGTTTGAGTTTCGTGTTTGGTGTTGGTTTGGTTTACTTGCTGTCTGGGTGGGGAGTCTCTGTGCTCAGGAATGACCACCTGACCTTACCTGGCAGACCACAGGTGAGTGGGAAGCAGCTGGACCCCCGTGGAAGTGCTCCCCCACCCAAAGCTCCAGAGAACCCCACGTCCTCACCATCCACTCCCACAGGAGACCCCTGGTGCAGGCCTGTGGCCAGCAGAGTTGGGGGGGGCTGGTGGCACGCTGCACCTCGATTTCACCCACCTTCACTTCCTCATCAAGCTTTCTCTGCAGTTCCTCCACCTTCTGGGCGAGTTCGCCCTGCCCTGCCAGGACCTTGGCAGACCCAGGTGTCATCTGACAGCAACACAGGAGGGAGGAAATGAGCCCACAAGCACATCGCACAGCACCCCCAGGCCCGAACGCGGCCCGAGCTCGCCGAGGGGAAGTCGCTCACCACCAGAGGCTGCATCTGCTCCAGGACCAGGCTGACTTTCCTTCTCACAGAGGCGTCACTCTCCGAGCTCCTGGGGGACAGAAGCACAGAAGCTTAGAGAAGGACTAGAGGGACCAGAGCCAGAGGGCAGAGGAGAGGGAGCTGGCCGCACAAGCGACCGAGCTGGGTTTGACCCCGGGCACTCCACAGAGTCCCCCCAAACTCTGCCAGGAGTGATCCCTCAGCATAGAGTCAGGAGTTAAGCTCTGAGTACAACCAGGTGAGGTTGAAACAGAGAGAAAGGAAAGAAAGCACGGGAGGAAGGAGTCTGCCTTGCATGATGCCGACCCAGGTTCGATCCCTGGCATCCACACGGTCTCCTGAGCAGTCAGGAGTAATTCCTGAGTGCAGAGCCAGGAGTAACCCCTAAGCTTCACTGGGCGTGGCACAAAAAATACAAAAGGAAGAAAGGAGGGAAGAAGGGAGGAAAGGAAGGATGGATGGACGGATGGGCATTTCCAGGACTTGGAACCAGGGACATGGCTGAGCAGCAGAGCAAAATGCATTGACTCTATTAGGTCCTGGGTTTGAACCCGACCAAAATACGTGTGTGTGTGTGTGTGTGTGTGTGTGTGTGTGTGTACGCATATGCAGGGAAGGAAAAGAAACAAAGCGTGATGTGTGATCAGGGCCGGGCGAGCAGCCCACTCACCCCTCCCTCAGGATGCTGTACAGGGCGGCCTTCACGTGGTCCACGCTGCCCGGAGGGGCGGCCTCCTGCTGATCCCGCAACAGGTCCGGAGTCGACTTGAACTGCAGGAACCCAGAGGAACAGGAAGGGTTAGCCAGAGGTGGCGGGGCGTGAGGGGAGACCAGCTTCTCCTGGTGCCGTGACAGAATCTGAAGTGGGAGGGCAGGAGCACCCCTGCCGAGGCCCAGGCACACCTCAGGGGGCTGCCTGGCAGGCCTGGCCCCAGAGTTGTTGCAAACTCAGACTTCCCCAGTGCTCGGCTGGTGAGGAACCGTGCAGACCCTTCACGATCACAGCTGTGGCTGGGCAATGTGCCAATGACTGCTGGGCAGAGAGGGGCTCAGGGCAGGGCGAGGTGGGGAGAGCCCCAGCAGTGCTGGTGGCTATGCCCCGGAACTGCAAGGCACAAGAAGGCAGCTCCCACACTGAGCAGGCCAAACGCGTGGTCAGCCATTTCCTTGCAGAGAAGACGGAAGAGGCACATGCCTAGGAGAGAAATCCAAGCCTCCCTGCTCTTGTTCGGAACACTGGGAACACACCCAGGGCACCCAAAGTGACAGGACAGCTAGGCTGATGACACTACCACCTCCCCTGGTTGTGGTGAGAAATGCACACACAGACCTGCAAACACACACACACACACACACACACACACACACACTCACACGTCTACACATATACATACATGCCCCACATTCACAAACACACACAGCTAGAACTGAAAAATTCAGCTTCCTTTTGGCGAATTACTAAGAAAGACCAGGCAGGGGGCCAGAGTGATAGCAGTGGGGAGGGCACTCGCCTTGCACACGGCCAAACCGGGTTAATCCCCGGCATCGTATATGGTCCCCCAGGCACCTCCAGATGTAATTCCTGGGGTGCAGAGCCAGGAGTAACCCATTGCCAGGTGTGACCCAAAAAGAAAAAAAATCACCAGCCAAGTAGGTTTCTCCCTCCCTCCCTCCCTCCCTCCCTCTCCCTTCCTTCCTTCTCTCCCTCCTTCCCTCCATCCTACCTCCCTTCTTTCCCTCTCTTTCATCTTCCTCCCTTCCTTCCTTTCTTCCTTCCTTCCTTCCTTCCTTCCTTCCTTCTTTCCTCCTTCCTTCCTTCCTTCCTTCCTCCTTCCTTCCTTCCTTCCTCCTTCCTTTCTTCCTCCTTCCTTCCTTCCTCCTTCCTTCCTTCCTTCCTTCCTTCCTCCTTCCTTCCTTCCTCCTTCCTTCCTTCCTTCCTCCTTCCTTCCTTCCTTCCTTCCTCCTTCCTTCCTTCCTCCTTCCTTCCTTCCTTCCTTCCTTCCTCCTTCCTTCCTTCCTTCCTTCCTTCCTTCCTCCTTCCTTCCTCCCTTCCTTCCTTCCTCCTTCCTTCCTCCCTTCCTTCCTTCTTTCCTTCCTTTCCTCCCTCCCTCCCTTCCTTTCTCTCTTTCTTCGCCTTTGTCTTCTCTGTCCCTCTAAACTTTTATTGTTCTATTCTCAGTTTACAGAAGAGTTGGGAGCAGAGCATCCATGTGCAAGCCTCACCCCCAGACTCCAAGTCTGGTACCCACGATCCCCATCAGCTCCTTCCCCGTACCACCTCCCGGCCCACTTGCGTGTGGTCCTGTCGCGCAGCGGTAGCGGTACCCCCTCCGCAGGCAGGACGGGAGAGACCACCCTGCCTGGCATCTGGAGCTCCAGGGCCCAGCGGCAGCGGGGTTCGGGGCTGCTGGGGATGCGCCCAGGTCGGGGTCTCACCTGCAGCACCGCGGGGTCCTGGGCTCTGGTCCTGGGCTCCTCGAAGCTCTGAAGGACCCAGTCCTGGGTCTGGCGAGCCCGACTGTAGCTGCTGCCCGTGACGCTGGGCTTGGGCACGGGCTGCTTGGAGCTGCTCCCACCGCCGGGCCTCGGGGGTGCCCAGGGGATGGGCGAGCGGCGGTCCTCGGGTGGGTCCCGCGGGGGGCGGCTGTCCAGGCTCTGGCTGCGTTTGCGCTGCTCGGCGGGCAGGGTCCTCAGGCGGCGGCCGGTGCGACCCCGGGCCTGGCCCCCCTGGTGCCGGTCGAACTTGTGGATGAGCGTGTCCACGGAGGACAGCGGCGCGGTGTCGATGGCACTGCCCGCGCCGACCCCCGGTGGCCCGAGCTCCAGCAGGCTGGTGCTCCTGTGGCCGGGGCCCAGGGGCGCGGGGCCCACCAGGGAGGCCTGGGACTGGGAGCGGAGCAGCCGGCCCCTCCAGGGGTCCCCCAGCTCCTCATCCGACACGCTGCCCTGCCAGGGGCCCGCGCTCTCCTGCGCAGGGGACCCCGAGTGCTCGGCGGGCGGCTCCGAGTCGGGGTGCGGGGCTCCCGGGGGCCCCTGGCGGTGGGCGCCCTTGATCTGGACCCCGAAGGACTCGCTGCCTTTCTCACCACTGTTGAGCACCACAAAGGGCTGCCCGGCGATGCCCTGGACGCGCACAGCCACCCCGTAGGTGTTGGCCCTGGCATCCTTGGCCGGCCGGCGCCCGGTGCGCATCTGCACGTCCCCCGCGGGCTCCGTGATGAAGCGGATCTGGACCCCGTGGTCCACGGGGCCGGCCATGGTTCAGGGTGCTCGAGCGGGCTCCTGCGAGAGGAAGGAAAGGGGTGACGTCCAGAGGCTCCGAGCAGGGCGGCCACCTCTGCTGGCCACCAGCTGGGGCTTCCTTATGTGCCACTGGACAGCCGGGCAGTTCCTTCTCCCCTGGACACGTGTGCGGGACATGGCACAGGGTATGCCCTGCGTCCAGTGGCCACTGCAAATGACCTGGCCACAAGGCGGCAGGGTCCAGGCAGTGCTGGAGGGCTGGAGAGCAAGCCTGGCTTGGGGAGATCCAGAGTCTGACCCCCGACCACGGCACATGTCACTACTGAGAACCCTCCTTCCCGCCCACGAAGAAAGCACCTGCCGGTGTGAGAACACAGGTCAAACCCCCAATGCCGCTCATGTGCTCTCCGGCCGGGGTCTGTTACGCCGGGTCAGGAAAGAGCAGGAGAAAGGGAGTCCAGCTCAAACAGGCAAGAATGAGCGACTCAGCAGCTGCAGGATTGCAAGGATTGTGTCTGCAACCAGCTCCCAAGTGCCACTACTGCTCCCAGCTCACACACCACACTCCGAGACCTGCTGACCCAAGACTCTTCTCTGAACCCGCCCTGCAGGTTGGCAGGGCAGCACGAAGATGATGCTTACTCTAACTCACACACACACCCCACTGGAGGCAGAGCCCACATTCCACCGGCAGCTTCAAGCGGGGGACCCGGAACCAGGGCCACCATTCCCCAGGACCCATTAAGACACAGATGACAGGGCCGAAGACAGGCGAGGCGAGGGAAGGGGGTTTGCCTTGCAAGCAGCGGACCATGGTTCAATCCTGCTATCCCAGGTGGTCCCCCAAGCCCACCACGAATGATCCCTGAGCACAGAATCAGTAGGAAACACTGAGAAACACCACAATGACGATCACGACCATCCTGTTGTTCGTCGATTGCCTCGAGCAGGCCCCAGTAACGTCTCCTTCCTCCTAGCCCTGAGATTTTTTTAAAAAAGTGCCATATTCAAGGCTCTTCCGGGGTTAGGAGAATGAGACCCATCATTGTTACTGGTATTTGGCATATTGGGTGCGCCACGGGGAGTTTGCCAGACTCTGCCGTGTGGGCAGGTTACGTTCGGTAGCCTGCCAGGTTGTCCAAAGCAAGAATGAGATAATAAGAGCTGGGTTTTATAGTCTCTGGGTCTTGGCCGTTGATGGGATTACACGGGCACCAGGGGTCCAGTTGGTGGGTGTGACCCCCGCCTACTGGAATTTGGAGGATCTGGGTGGAGGATGCTCAGCCCCGATCCGAGCAGGCTTGGAGATCTCAGCCCCAGGACCCGCATGCCTTTGGTCCTCTGCCAGTACCCTCGTGCGTGTGGAGAGTGGTCTCAGCATGGTTGTGGCTGGTTCAGGAGGTCTTCGGCAGAGTCTCCTGCCCCTGCGCCTGGCTGTCCTCGCTGGGGCCCCTTGGAGGGGGTCGGGTTAAGTTTTCCTCCCCGCCCCGACCAGAGCTCCAGAGCAACACCAAGTGTAGCCAAAATAAAAAACACACAAAACACACTACAGCGTGCTGTGCCGTTCTAGACTGATACAAAACAACACCATGATGGTGGGGGCAGTGGGGGGGCGCTACTGAGGCATGGGAGCAGAAATGGGGGACCTACTTGCTCCCTAGAGTGCATCTTTCTCTTTTGAACTCGGTGCCATGTTGAAGAAAATGTTGTCCAGTGCTAGCCAGGGGCTGGAGAGGTAGTACAGTGGGTGGGGTGCCCACCTTGCACACAGCCGACCTGGCTTTAAGCCACAGCACCACATCTGGTTCCCCTGAGCACTGCCAAGCATGATCCCTGAGTGCAGAGCCAAGAGTAAGCCCTAAGCACCACTGAGTGCGGCCAAAAAACCCGAACAAAAACAACAATCCCAGCACAGGGTCCAGGACAGGCTGACCTGTCCCAGGAGGGCTCCGGGGGTTAGAGCAGAGATCTGACCCCAGGCAGCTCCTGGTCTGCACTGCCCAGGCTCAGAGCCAGCAAACCTGGGATGCTCTCCAGGTATGCTTCCACCCCGGGAGCCTGGGGAGAGCCTCTTGTCCCGGCAAATAAAAATTCCAGTTTCCAGCCATTCTGCTCATCACCAGATCCGAGACCCAGAAGAGAGGAGGAGCCTCTTCCAGGGCCACACAGAAACCACGACCCACCAGCCGGCCCGTGGAGCTGTCACTGGGCAACGTTCCTTCCAGAAACCACGCTCGCAAGCTCAGGGCAAGGTGGGGGTGCTGACTCCCCTCCGGAGGCACAGGGTGCACCTCCCTGGACGCCCCCACAGCGAACTCCGTGTGTCACTCCCTTCTTGTATGCCAAAGGATCCCTCTTCCCTCTCCTCGCCATGTATCCCAGATAAACCGATTTACAACCATGGGAGAAAGAGCCAACAATTCTCCGGCTTTCCAGCTGCTGAGTCTCCATCTGAGACGCAGGGCTGGAGAGAGAGGCCGCGGGGAGGGCATGAGGCGGACCCAGGTTTGATCCCTGGCACCACGTGTGGTCTCCTGAGACCTGCCAGGAGCGATCCCTGAGTGCAGAGCCAGGAGTAGCCCTGAGCGTTGCTGGATGTAGCCCGAGGAAGGAAGGAAGGGAGGGAGGGGAGGAAGGAAGGAGGGAGGGAGGGAGGGAGGGAGGGAGGGAGGGAGGGAGGGAAGAAGGAGAGGAAGGGAGGGAAGGGAGATAAGGGAGGGAGGAAGGAAGGAAGGGAGGGAGGGAGGGAGGGAGGGAGGAAGGGAGGGAGGGGAGATAAGGGAGGGAGGGAGGAAGGAAGGAAGGAAGGAAGGAAGGAAGGAAGGAAGGCAGGAAGGAAGGAAGGAAGGAAGGAAGAGGGAGGAAGGAAGGAAGGAAGGAAGGAAGGAAGGAAGGAAGGAAGGAAGGAAGGAAGGAGAGAAAGGGAGGGAGGGGAGATAAGGAAGGAAGGAAGGAAGGAAGGAAGGAAGGAAGGAAGGAAGGAAGAGGGAGGAAGGAAGAGGGAGGAAGGGAGGAAGGAAGGAAGGAAGGAAGGAAGAGGGAGGAAGGGAGGAAGGAAGGAACGAACGAAGAGGGAGGAAGGGAGGAAGGAAGGAAGGAAGGAAGGAAGGAAGGAAGGAAGGAGAGGAGAGAAAGGGAGGGAGGGGAGATAAGGAAGGAAGGAAGGAAGGAAGGAAGGAAGGTAGGAAGGAAGGAAGGAAGGAAGGAAGGAAGGGAGGAGGAAGGAAGGAAGAGGGGAGGAAGGAAGGAAGGAAGGAAGGAAGGAAGGAAGGAAGGAAGGAAGGGGAGATAAGGGAGGGAGGAAGGAAAGAAGGGAGGGAGGGAGGGAAGGGAGAGACAGAGAGAGAGAGAGAGAGTCAGATCAGCCTGCTACCCACCCAAGCAGAGCCCCCAGCAGCAGCTTGCTTCCAAAATCCCAAAATCGCCACCAAACCCCCCGGCCTGACTCCACCATCTCAGAACGGACGAAACATCACCTGCTGAAAATTTGGGTATTCGGGTTTTGTGACAGAAATCTCCAGGCTTTCTCGGGGTCAGGATGGGCTACCTGTCCCCACCTCCCTGTATTTCCAGAAGCCTCGGCAGTCACACCCACACCCCAAAGCTGCCACTCAACTGAGAAGCTACTCCAGCTTGACCGTCCCGGTACAAATACCGAATGCCCTGAACCAACCTCACCGTGACCTCTTAGCACCAGTATTGCAAACCATAATGCACAAAAGGAAAAGGCGAGAGGGCAAGAAGGAGAGCGACTCCCAAAGAGGGAGGCTGGGGGTGGAAGATGGGATACTGGGGTGACGGTGGTAGGAAAACAGGGGACACGGGTGCCTAGGAAACGTACGCTGGTGGAGGGGTGGGTGCTGGATCATTGTGTGACTGAAACCCAATTATGAACAGCTTTGTAATGGTCTATCTCGCGGATATTCAATTAAAAATAATAAAGAATACAAGTAATGTGACGTTCATGCCCACTTCAATCAGTTTAATCAATGGCTGAATAAATAGCAGTACTCATACATTTAAAAAAAAATAGAGAAAGAGGGGCTGGGCTGGAAGCGATAGCACAGCAGGTAGGACGTTTGCCTTGCACGCAGCCAACATGGTCAACCCGGGTTCGATTCCCAGCATCCCATATGGTCCCCCGAGCACCGCCAGGAGTAATTCCTGAGTGCAGAGCCAGGAGTAACCGCTGAGCATCGCCGGATGTGACCCCCCAAAAAAAATTTAAAAAAATAGAGAAAGAAAGCAAGAAAGACGAAAAATAGGTCAGAATAGCACCACATTGGGTAGGGCACTTGCCTTGCACAGAGAACCAGGTTCTGTCCCTGGCATCCCAAATGACCCTTGAGCATTGCAGGATGTGCTATCCACCCCCCCCCCCCAAGAAAAAAAGGAAAAGAAAAAAAAAAAGAAGAAAAGAAAGAAAAAAAGATAAGGCCGGGGCTGGAGCAATAGCACAGCAGGTAGGGCATTCGCCTTGCACGTGGCCGACCCGGGTTCGATTCCCAGCATCCCATATGGTCCCCTGAGCACTGCAAGGGGTCATTCCTGGCTCTGCGCTCAGGAATTACATATTACATCCCATATGGTCCCCCGAGCACCACCAGGAGTAATTCCTGAGCGCAGAGCCAGGAATGACCCCTGTGCATTGCTGGGTGTGACCCAAAAAAGCAAAAAAAAAAAAAAAAAGATAAGGCAAAGAGGTTCAGTTCTCCAAGATTCATGCGGAACAGGCGCTGACCACTGGCAGGGCGCGGCTGGGAATCTTAGCTTTGCAACTTCCTACATGTCCATAGCCTTAAGCAAACTTCCTGTGCCTTAGTCTCCTCATCTGTGGACTGATCTACCTGTGAGAATTAGATAACAATAATGACAGAATGGAAAGAATGTGGTTTTTTTTAAAAGCCATATCCAGTTAGGATCTGGGCACTGTATTGATTTAGGTTTTCCTTTGAAAAAGGGAAAATGATGAGACAGGAAACACGAACAAAATCTGTCCTGGGGGTACCAGAGTGATAGCACAGCGGGTAGGGTGTTTTGCCTTGCACGCAGCCAACCTGGGTTCGATTCCCAGCATCCCATATGGTCCCCCAAGCACCGCCAGGAAATAATTCCTGAGTGCAGAGCCAGGAGTAACCCTGTGCATCGCCAGGTGTGACCCAAAAATTAAAAAAAATGTAAAAAAAAAAGAAAGTTGAATGTTGGGCTGGAGCGATCGCACAGCGGGGTAGGGCATTTGCCTTGCATGCAGCCGACCTGGGTTCGATTCCCAGCATCCCATATGGTCCCCCAAGCACCGCCAGGAATAATTCCTGAGTGCATGAGCCAGGAGTAACCCCTGAGCATCGCTGGGTGTGACCCCAAAAAGCAAAAAAAAAAATCAAAAACCCTGTCCTGGGGCTGCTGTTGCTCCTTCCTGCTCCCGGGCGTCAGAGAACCAACGGGCTGTCCCCTCACACTGCCACACACAGAGGCCGGGCACCTGGGCTGGTGCAAGAGGCCTCCAGGCCCTGGCCCTGGCCTGCTTTACACACGGAGAAAGTGATGAGCACCCTCCTGCCCCCTCACTTTAAAGTGGGGAAGGGGCGTCCTGGCTCTCGGCGGACCTGTGTGTGCCCAGGCCCCTGGCGCCTGTCCTGAACCAAGACAGGCCCCACACAGCACTGGGGGCCTGTCCAGCCCCCTCGAACTATTTTCCTTCCAGTCTAGCCGCAGGCCACCTGCCGCCAGGCTTCCCTGCTGCCTTCAGGGACTTTGGCCTTGATGACCCGGGGTGGCGCTGATTTATTCCTCTCAGGATCCAGGGCCGAGTCCCAGGTCCACACCCAACAGTGCTCACCATCCCCCGCTCACCCTCCTGGGGGTGGCAGCCAGTACACACCGGGTCTTTGTGGCACCCCAATCTCTCTTAATTAGGGTTACAGGCCAGAAGGGCAGAAGGGAGCTTTGGGGTAGGTCAGGAAGCAGGTTCTAAATGATTCAAGATGGAAAAAGCCGAAACCAAACCACCTTCAGTGACACAGGACAGTGGGGTGGGGCAGGGAGGCCAGGCTAAGAGCTGGCAGAAGCCAGAATCGGTAAACAGGGCCCCAGCAGCCAGCGACAAGGCGACAAGGCAACAAGGCGACATGGCTTCCGGGGCCGACCTGCTCTCTCCCCTACCCAGCACTGATGCAGGGCACAGGGCAGACCCCAGAGGTGACTCTGAGAAGAAACGCGCCCCCCCAGCCCCCCGCTGAGACCTTGCAACTCCACCGTCTCCCATTCCTGCCTGCATGGCGGGAGCTGCACCCACACTAACTTCTCCCTGGGTTACTCATTAGCCTGCCCTGCCCGGCTCGTCTCCACCCCCTCCAGCCTGCCCAGAGCTCTGCTGGCATCCAGTTCGGAGTGACAACAGGGTCTCTGGACGCCGGGAAGGGAGTGGAGGTGGGGGGGCTGCAGGGCGTGTTCCTCGAAAACCGACGCAGGCAGAGAAGCCAAGGTCTGGGCACTGGTTCATGCCACAAACGGGACCAGGAAAGTTGGGGGATCTTGGGAGGGGTCCCCTCTGGGGTAGCAAGGAAAGCCAAACAGTCAATGCAGAGCCGGGGAGAATGGCATAGGCTTCTGTTTTCTCACGGAGAGTTGCAGAGAGAAGGTTCCGGGTGGCTCTGAAATTAACAGCACCCCCCCCCACACACACACACACACAAACACACAATGCCACCCCCAGTGGATTCTTGGCTGGGTCCACCGAAAAAGGCGAGAAACCTGAGAGCCAGGCTCCAGCAACTTGGCCAGTGCAGAGTGGGGGGTGCACGGTGAGGACCTGGCCCCTGCAAACTCGCTGGACTGGTTTGAGAGGCGCAAGGAGGAGGCTGGAGCCAGGAAAGGAGACCCAAGAAACTCCACTCCCCAAAGGAGGCAGAGTGGGGACAGCCCAGGCAGGGGCTGCCACGGCACCGAGGAGGGGTAAAAGGGGGTTCGGGCAGACGCACAAGGTACCCGTGAGGGGCCGGGCCAACAGGGCACAGGAACTAGGCGCCTCTGCCCCTCCCTCTCAGGTCCCCAACCTGCATTCCTGACAACCTGCATACCAGCCCAGCCCCAGCCGCCTCAGCGTGAAGCAAGGCCACCTGCTCTCGGTTTCCCCTCCCAGGGATGCACACATGCAGAGAGGGCTCTGGAGAGTCAGAGGCGTCTGAGAAGTCTCGCCCAAACCCCCACGTCCACGCGCCAGGAGGCAAGAGAGGAACACGGAGGCATCCTGCCCACAACCTAGCGGCTGCTAATTACTTCCCAATTACAATCACTTTCCGCAGGCAGAGCATCAAAGGGGCCAAAGGAAGGCTAGGAGGCTGGTGTGGACGCCCTCAGTGGCCAAAGGCCAGGAAACGTGCCCTAGAAGTTCTGTCTGTGGGCTGCAGAAATAACAAGGTTTTTGCCTTGCATGTGGCCTACAGCGTCAGAGCCGACCCGTGTTCGATCCTGGCATCCCATAGGCCACCCCCCTCTCCCCAGCACCGCCAGGAGTAATTTCTGCATGCAGAGCCAGGAGATACCCCCGAGCATCGCTGGGTGTGGCCCCAAACAGTTCTGTCCGGGGGGCACCTGTCACCCAGCCTGGAGAACATGAACTCCCCTAGTTCTGGGGTCTTCTGGGAGGTCTTGTCTCCTTTCCGGACCTCTAGAGCCTCTACCAGGGAGGTCGGTTCGGACTCCAGATTCAGGGATGCCCCTAAGAGGAGTCCAAAGGACCCTGGGGGGGGGGGCATAAAGGAACCTGAAGCCACACCCAGTGGCCCCACTGGGCAAGAACCCCAGGAGAGCGCGTGTTTGGCGGAGGACCTGACACTCCCAGAAAGAAGGAAGAACTTTCTAGTTATTTCTGTTAGCAGGCCTGGGACGCGGCTCCTTCCTTCCCAGATCTGGTGAGCACTGTCTCAAGGCGAAGGAGGAAAATTTCTCCCGGGCATGAAGGCAAAAGAGGGCACACACAGAAAGCCTTAAATAGTTTCGCACCTAGCAAAGAGTCGGGTGCCTCTTGTTCTCAGGTAGGTGGTGGAGGGTGGGGTGGGGGGGGGGGGAGATCCACAACTCTGAGCCATTGTAAAGGCAAGAGGGAGGTGCCAGCCCCGGCTCAGACTGGCAGTCTGCGGGCGGGGGGGCGGGGTGGGGAAGAACTCGGGGACACGGCACCTCGCGGGCATCTCCCACCCACAGCGGGGCCTGCGGGGCCGCGGGCGGCAGCTCCCAAGGGTCCCCCCTGCCACCACCCCGTCTCCAAGGCACGTCCCGCCCCCGGGGCCGCCGCCTGACCTCCAGAGACCTCCCGGCGGGGAGACGCTCGCATGCCCCGGGAACAGCCTCCACCCCTCGCCTGGCACGGCCCCAGCGCCCGCCGCGGGCACCTCGCAGCGGGCACCGGCTCGGGATCGGCGCGCCTGCCCCATCCTGCCCGGCCCTGCTCCCACCTGTGCGGGCGATCGCTCGATCGCCCCGGCCCCCGGCGCCGGGGGGGGGACCTCGGAGGGTCGGGGGGCGGCTCCGGAGCCTGGCCCGGGCCGCGTCCACTCACCGCAGCCGGGCCGGCCGCTCGGGGCTGGGGCTCGCACCGGGCTGCACGCGCGGCTCCCGGGCCCGCCCCTGCGTCCCCGGGCGCTCCCGCCCGGCCCCGCCCACCAACCTGTTACTCGCGAGCTCCTCCCCCATTGGCCGTCCCCGCGCGCCCCGCCCTCCCCGCGCCGCGATTGGCCCGCGGGCGGAGGGGGCGGGGCCTCCGGCGCGCAGACCCGGAGCGGGGGTCGCCCGGCGGCGGGCAGGGGCGGGCCGGGTCACGTGGGCGCGGGCCGGGCCGCGAGGGGCCCGGGGCCGTTTTGGGGGCGTCGCGGCGGCCCGGCCGGGGTGGGAGGGGAGGCCCGCCGGGGTACGCCCCCCACCCGGGGGTCGCGCCGCCCCTCGCCCCCCTCCGCGGAGCCCTGACCCCTCCCCCGTCCGCCCGCGCTCGCCCCCCGACCACCCCCCTGGTTCCGCCCGGGGTCGCTTTATTCGCCCCGGAGACGGCCCCGGGCGTGCAGCGCGCGGAACCGCAGGGGAGCGGGGACCCCGGCCGGGGACTCGGCGCGCCGTGCTCCCGCGGCAGCGGGGGATGAACGGGCCGGCCGGGGGGCTGCGGGGTGCGGAGGGGGCGGCTGTGCTCCCGCGGCGGCCGGGGTGCTTGGGGAAACCGTGCTCCCGCGCTCCTGCGGCCGGGGGAGGAAGAAGCGGCGCTCAGGGGGTTGTGCTCAGGGGGTTGTGCTCAGGGGGTTGTGCTCAGGGGGTTGTGCTCAGGGGGTTGTGCTCAGGGGGTTGTGCTCCCGCGGCAGCGGCGCGCGTGCCCAGCCGAGCCCGGGGACTTGTGCTCCGGGATCTGCTGACGCACACGCCACCCTGGTGGGCAGCGGGCACGCCGGCCCCCGCCCCGGCACGGCCGCCGGAGCTGGCCGGGCGGCTGGGCTCACACCCCGCGGTGCCCAGGGCCGAGTCCTGGCTCTGCGCTGCGGAATCGCGCCTGGCGGGCTTGGGGTGGGGGTAGGGGGGACCACCTTTGGGCTACCGCGGATCGAACCCGGGTCTGCCTGGGCAAGCTCCTGCCTCCAAGCCCTTCTCCCAGCTGACGTGCAACCAGCGCGGTCCTTTCCCCTCCCCCCCTCCCAGCACCCAGGTGTGGGTTCCGCAGGGTGAAGTCCACCTGCGGGTTCCGCGGCTGGGCTGGGTCGTAAAGGCTCTAAATTCCAGAGGAGGCTTTTTTCCGGGATTACAGTCAGCAAACCGACCCTTGCCCCAGGGAGGAACCAAAAACAAACAACAACAACAAAAAAAAAACAACCCGGCGTGGGGGGTGGGGATACCAAGGACACGTCACCTGCACCGGGTTCCTCCACACCTCTGGGAGGTTGGTGTTTTGTTTTTTGGGTTTTTTTTTTTTTTTTGCTTTTTGGGTCACACCCGGCGATGCTCAGGGGTTACTCCTGTCTCATGCACTCAGGAATTACTCCTGGCAGTGTTCAGGGGACCATATGGGATGCTGGGATTCGAACCCGGGTCAGCCGCTTGCAAGGCAAACGCCCTACCCCTGTACTATAGTTCCAGTCCTCTATCATTAAATTTTATTTTATTTTATTTTTTTGCTTTTTGGGTCACACCCGGCGATGCTCAGGGGTTACTTCTGGTTCATGCACTCAGGAACTACTCCTGGCCGTGCTCAGGGGACCATATGGGATGCTGGGGATCGAACCGGGGTCGGGCCGGGTGCAAGGCAAACGCCCTCCTCACTGTGCTATCACTCCAGCCCCTGTTTTTTGTTTTTTGTTTTTTTGTTTTTTAAGGGGTGTGCGGAGGAGAGAATACTAACCTGGATTTCACTTAAGTGTCTTTGCAGTTCATACAAAGTTAGGGAAGTAGGGGCTGGAGAAATAGTACCACCTTGCACTGGCCCACGCAGGTTGAATCCTGGCACCCCGTAGGGTGCTCCGAGCATCGCTAGTCCTAATTCCTTAGTGTGGAGCCAGGAGTTACTCCTAAACAAGGCAAGGTATGGCCTCCCCCCACAAAAAAATAAATAAAGGTAGTAAAGGAGACACCCCAACCTAGTACACTGCACACAGATGACAGGAGGAAGTAGGAGGTGAGTCACCACCATTATCCCGGTCATCTGATCCTCCAGGAAGCACTACACAAAAGGGAAGCCACCACTGGAACAGGTGACACCGAGATCTCAATCTGGAGAGTCCAAAGTCCCTTTCGGTGGGGCTGAGACTCGGGCTGGAGGGGAGGGATTTGGCTTGAGTGTGGACAGCCGTGATTAGAAACCCTTACGTGGTCCTGGAATGATCAGTTGTTCCCGGTGCTGTGCCGCCCCCCTCCCCCCAATATAAACCAGATGAGTGGGCAAGGACCTGAGTTGGGGGCTCATTGGCAGAGCATGAGAGCATGAACCTCAAATACATAAGCTGGGGGCCTGTCCCACCTGGGGGAGAGGACAGAGGCGTGAGAACTTGGAGGAAAAGCTCAGTTTGGATTCCGGGACAAAAAGTGAAAGCAGAGGAAGGAACTCCACTGAGGAAGCTGGGTTTCATCCTAGGGCCAGAAAACTTTTTTCTTTACTGCTCGACCCAGCAAAGAAGGAAGTAATTCTAAGCTCTGAAGACTTTCAAAACACATTTGGAGCGCCCAAAACTGCCTATTTGGAAACAAGAGCATTCCTCTTTGGTTATTCGGTTGATTATTTATTTTGGAGAGGGGGTTTTGGGGTACCACATGCAATAGTGCTCGAGGCTTACTCCTGGCTCTACACACAGGAGTCAGGGACTATATGAGGTGCCAGGGATCAAACTTGGGTCAGCTGGCCTTGTGCATCGTAAGTACCTTCCTGCCATCTCTATGGCCCAAAGCATTCCTTTGGTATGATCCGGTAGTCTATTTGGGAGTTCTGGGAACCTTTGTCTTTTTTTTTTTTTTTTTTTTTTTTTTGCTTTTTGGGTCACACCCGGCAATGCACAGGGGTTACTCCTGGCTCATGCACTCAGGAATTACTCCTGGCAGTGCTCGGGAGTCTATATGGGATGCTGGGAATCGAACCCGGGTCGGCTGCGTGCAAGGCAAACGCCCTACCCGCTGTGCTATTGCTCCAGCCCCGAACCTTTGTCTTTTTCATTCAATCCACGTAAACTTGTGGCAATTTTATATTTTCAGATCCCCCCAAAATGTACCAGCTCATACCAAATAGACGTAAGACATTCCACTTTCTGACTGTAGCTGGCAGGAGGGGAAATGGATAGGAAAAGTGCAAGGGCTAGGAAGAAAGCTGAACAGGTTGGATCATGTTCTTGCATGCAGGATACCTGGGTTCAGTCTGGGCACCACATGGTCCCCCCCCGCGAGCCCCAACCCAGGAGCAACTCCTGAGCACTTCCGAAACACTTTGAGGGACAGGAGTGTGCTGGGAGTGAAAGTTACCCCAGAGCACTGCTAGATGTGGTTCGTCCGCCCCCAAAAGTCTTCCATTGATGGGGCTGGAATAATAGTACAGCAGGCAAGACCCCGCCTTACACGCGGCCGGCCCGGGTTCTATCCCCAGCATCTCCTCTGGTTCCCCTGCGCACAGCCAGGAGTGGTTGCTGAGGGCAGAGGCAGGAGTAAGCCCTAAGCACTGCCGGGTATGGTCCCCAAACAAAAACAACAAACAAACAAGTCTCCCACTCCACCTGAACAAGGTGCTACCCGAGTGGAGCGTTGGAACAGACAGTGGCCTGGAGAACAGTCAGTGGCAGAATATCTGCCTGCCACACCTGACATGTGCAAGGCCACTGCCATTTGCAATCACAGCTCCCAGGGTGTGCTACCCCCAAAGGTGGTTACAACAATAATGACTCAACATAATGGGAAGGAAGGAGAGAGAAATAAGGGGTAGCCGGAGGGGTAGCACGACTGGGAGGGCACTTGCCTTGCAAAAGGCTAACCCAAATCAAGGCCCTAGCACCCCTGAGCCTGCCAGGAGTGATTCCTGAGAACAGAGTCAGGAAAAAGCCCTGAGTGTGGACCAAAAAATAAAAGGAAGGAAAATAAGAAACCGGGGAGTGGAGAGGCAGGATGGGGGACATGCACAAGAAAATGGACAAAGACCCCCCCGGGCAGAGGCAGAGGGCCATACTGTTTCCTGGGAGAAATTGGAAAGAGTTTTCTTTTTTTTTTTTCCTTTTTGGGTCACACCCAGCAATGCTCAGGGGTTACTCCTGGCTCATGCACTCAGGAATCACTCCTGGCGGTGCTCGGGGGACCATATGGGATGCTGGGAATCGAACCTGTATCGGCAATCGGCTTGCAAGGCAAACGCCCTACCCACTGTGCTATCACTCCAGCCCCTGGAAATAATTTCTTGATGTTGGTTGAAGAGGCCCGGGAGTGTCTGGGAGTATCTCAGACTGAAAAAGGGAAAACTGGCTGTGAACAGGAGGATTAGGATAAGGCTCCCCAGACAGCAGGGAATTCTGGAGCTCCGGCCCAGCTGAACTTGGGAACGCTGCCCTGGGCCGCGGGACGAAAGGGAGGCTGGGTGGGCTGCAGAGGGAGGGAGCAAAAACATTCACTTTGTGTCTCTGAGCACCAAACTCATCCTTTCTTTCCTGGGCTTTGCTTACAAAAACTTCAAGGGTAATAATAACATGTAATTACGCTAATGCCCAGGACTTTTCCCGGTTGGTCAAATTTCTCTGATGGGTGTTACAGGGTAAATAAGAAATGGTCAGGGGCTGGAGCGATAGCACAGCGGGTAGGGTGTTTGCCTTGCATGCGGCCGACCAGGGTTCAGTTCGATTCCCAGCATCCCATGTGGTCCCCTGAGCACACTCTGGGAGTGGTTCCTGAGTGCAGAGCCAGGAGTAACCCCTGTGCATCGCCGAGAAGCAAAAAGAACTTTTTTTAAAAAATGAGAAATGTTGGGGCTGGAGCAATAGCACAGCGGGTAGGGCGTTTGCCTTGCACGCGGCCAACCTGAGTTCGATTCCCAGCATCCCATATGATCCCCCGAGCAACGCCAGGAGTAATTCTGGAGTGCAGAGC